GGCAGTAAAGTGTTTGTGCGAGTTAACAGTCGTGACTTCAAGACGTCAGACGTCGTGAACTTTGCTCAGACTTGGACACGATCCGACTCGTATGACGGGATGTTTGGGGGCTGAACAAACACTGAGGACTGACAAGAAGCCGCGTCAGTTTGATGAACTTGCCTACAGCAGAGTTTCAACTTCCCGTTTTCACACAGAACACAGAGAGCTCGAGGTTCTTACTGGAGCTTCACTGTCTGAACTCCAAGCAGCTGTTTCTAGGTGGCGTTTTTTTGTTTGTTTTTTATGCTCCTGTCTCATTTTTCCTCGCTGTGAATTCATGTTTACTTGAGTTACGAATGACTTCACGGTTGCACCAAAGACTGCAGAATTTTTTTATTTTTTACAGAATCTGATTTGAGCAAATGGTTAATTTTTGGCACACTTTTAAACAAGACATGAACATGAAATATCAGAATTTTAAGCTTCGATTTGGTGGATGTGCATCACAAAAATCCAGCGATGATAAATGGTCAAAGATAACATACTTTGTGGTTCAGACGGTTAAGAAACATGCAATAAAATAGAATTATAGTGTTATTAAACTATGAGAAGAAGGTCCCTGTAACACTGAACAAAGAACTGCTGCAAAACAACAACCTGTAGATTTAATCATTAAAATCTAAACTTATCTTTACTCTTTACATTCAAGGTCATAATCTTAAAAAAAAAAACTCAGCAATGTTTAAAATGCTATAAATCCTAACAAGTAAAGAAAAATTGAATTCCCTTGATTATTTATTTTACAAAAGTTGAAAAAAACTGAATCAACATGTGCAAAGTTTTTCCACGTTTTGTAAGTCAGCTGTCTGCTTTGTGGAAACACAGCCGAGAAAATCCCTGATTTTTTGTCACGTCGCTGTAGGTCTCAGCCGAGCCACTGAGGGCTTCTTAGTTGCAGCAAGGAGCGGAGAATTTTTCATTTTTTACAGATTCTAGTTTGTCCAAATAGTTTATTTTTGGCGAATTTTTAAACGAGACACGCAGAATAAAAAGACTTCAATGGAACGATTTTAAGTTTTGGGTAAATTTTCCAACACGATTGGTTCAAAGATCCGACAGTTCTTCCTGTTCAGGTTTGGGTTTTGTTGAACCGGCTAAATAAAGTCAGGCTTTGTCCAGGTGTTTGCGTTCTCAGGTGATAAGTCATTGTTGAGTTCAGGTGTTGTTGCTCCATCACAGGTGGACTCCGCCCAGGAAGCTGCTCACCTGAGTGTCCAGGTGTCCGGCTCTCCTTCAGCGCTCTGGACTAAACTGTAAGTTTGTTTTTGTCCCATGTTTAACTCTTTCTTCCTGTTTCTTTCGCTCACTTCTTATTTTATTTTCTAACTTTAGGTCCCTCTTGTGTTTAAACGTGAATCAGTTTCAACATTTAGCTGCTTTCTTGAGAAAACCGCGCAGGTATAAAACCATCGTCTCCGCCGTTAAACGACATTAATTTGAGTTAACGTCGGTGTTGCTTTGACGAAGCATTTAATTCACCTCTCGTGCGGTGCGTTGGCCGGTTACCACGGTTACAGGCAGGGGTTGATTACACAAAACTGAGACGATTTCTTCAACAGAAAGTAGGACCTCTGAGGACTGTTTTGTTCTGTACATGTGGACAAACTGTTTCCTGGAAGGAGTCGAGGTTTCTACATGTCATTTTTAAACTAAAAAAATTCAATTAACCTCGACTGTTTGAGTGAAGTTTCACTGATGCCAGTTTAAATTTCTTTTATTTGCGTATTTTACTTTCTGTAGCTTCGAGTAATTTGCATGTAATTACCTCTATAAAGCTCTGTCGAGTCCCAAAGGACAAAAAAATAAAAAAATCATCTGTCCTGCACCTAAATACCCTGCAGTGTCAGACCGGTGATTTCTATATTTTAATTTTCAGGCAATATTTGTATTTAATTCATGGTTCAGGAAACACTGACGCTCCAGCCACACGTAGGAAACACACGTTTAATACAACATACATATAAATACTTTGCACTGCAGTAACTTGTAGGTTCAGCGTGATGTCTGACGTGTGTTTTTTTTTTAGTATTTAGTGATTTCAGATCAGTTTTGAGCTGCAGCGATGCCTCGACTGCAGATATTGTTGCATTTAAGTCCCTGGAAAACTTCATGTGATGCTGCAGAGCAGAGATTTGCAGAAAATACAAACTAGTATGACCACAGTGACACATCAGGAAATGCACATATTTAAAGTATTTACCTTTGTTTACCTTCTAGATGTGCTTTTTAATGTAATCAGTATTTGTAATGAACGTCATGAAACAAGCGAGGTTGGGTTTAAGCTAACCTAAAGGACTGTTTTTGTAACTTCCATCCCCATAAACGTGCAAAGGAAGGCTAAGATGGTCAAAATAGTCAAATAGAAGAAAATTAATCAGCAAAATTTGCGATAATCGATCGTTCTTTACCATTTTTTGAGCAATAATTTGGAATATTTGCAGGTTCCAGCCTCATGTGTGAAGGTTTGATGTGCTTTTATTGTTTATTATAAAACATTTCATTGTGTTTTACGTTTTGTTCGACTTTAGTTTGTTTATTTGTCGTGAAAAATGCGCAGCATCATTTAAACTTTTTCTCTGCTGTGTCATGTGCCAGTGTTTCCATTGAAAGTCCGACAGAAACTGGTTTATTTGATGCTTTTGATCCTCTTTTGCGTCTGTCAGCTAGAAACCTTTAAAACTCTCCGTGTCGATGTTAAACTGACTGAACATTAAAGGACTGAAGCTTCCAGTGGACCTCAAAGTGCTGCTCTTCACTTCACTGCGGCTCATCGACGCCATCTGCTGGACTGATGTGAAAAGTTCAGAAACACAAGACAAGAGCCGGTTAATTGAGGAGCAGCATGAAGCAGGATGAATGAATCTGTGTTTCTTCTGCAGGTGAAGGTGTGAGCTGCACGAGTTCAGCAGCATGAATCGGTGTGAAGACTCCAACATGCTTCTGTGTGGGGAACACGAGAACCAGAACAAAGCTCAGAGGTGAGATCGAGATGAGATTAGAATTTGATAATCCCACAACCTATTAAAGAACTGTTAGACCAGGGGTGTCCAATCCTGGTCCTGGAGGGCCACAGTCCTGCATGTTTT